TCATCGGGCACTAGATGGCAGTACTAAAAAATCACTTCTCGATACTTGCACTTTACGCAAATGTGGATGGATGGCAGCACTTGTATTATTCGAATTTGAATTTGAATTTTGTGGATATTATTTGGCTGATTCTAAAATGGAAAAAATACAACTTTATAATGAAAATAAAAAGAGATGGAACATGTTACGTAAATGATAAATTTATCGTAACAATGTCTCACAGTCATCCGACATCACTTCGGTTTAATTTTCCTTCTTAGGAATATTAATACTATCCGTGTCGACTTTTGAGCCGGCTATGTCGCGCCTTGGCGCTGATATTATCTCCACAGAAGTCCTTTGTTTTGATTTTATTCTTAAAGTAATGAGTAACCTTTAGGTTCAGAAAAACCGTAAACACCTAATGCGTCTGTTCACTCTACTTTTAAATAATTTTCAAGCACTTTTTTCCAAGAGAACCACAAAACTTCACCGCATAATAAACACAACCTCTTGCAATGTTGCCAAAACATAAAATCGTCGTAAAAAAAGTGTAAAATTTGGCATTTCTCAAATGATATAATTCACAAATTTGTTGCCATTCGATAAAGAAAATTTCAACGATTGTTCCGGTAGGAAAATATACAACGGAAAGATAGTAAATGTGGAAGATTTAACGATTTTAAAGCTAACATTGGTAAAATACCTTCATTTCAAAAAAAAAAGGTGACAAGAACAGTTATCTATCTCTCAACAGAACGTTCAAAGAAACAGAACATTCCTGAAAATAGCCTCAAATTCTTATAAAGACTTTACCGGAAACCCACAACTTTGTTTTATATCAAGATACTGGAGTACACTGCGCAAGAACCACCTTAGGGACAATATTAATAAAAAATAAATAGCTCTCTAGAAGTCAACCAGATGTCGGAAGATCTGCCAAAAAAAAAGTTTCACATTATTGGCGATGCGATGGAAACTGTTTATTTCGTTCCGTAAGTCTTTTTCTTTTTAAAACACAAGAAAAACATACAAAACTAAGGCTGCTTCAAAATTTATCTATGACGAATGGGAAAGTTTGAAATGGTTCATTAGGGATCAGAATATTTCGAAAGAAGAATATAACAAATATATAAGTAAGAATGGAATCTATGCAACTTCAATAGAGTATCTAGCTCTGTCAGAATTATTCAAAATAAATTTCAATGTTTACCCTGCCGAACAACAAACATCTATCAATAACATTTTAACTAAGAAACCAATTATAATATCTAAAGAAAAACTTGCAACTTCAATAAACCTTTTATTTAGTGGTAATCCAGACAGTGGCCATTATGATTTAATTGAAGAGACCAATTTCCTTACCACTTCTACTGTAACATGTTCTGCGTGCTTAAAACTTTCCAAAAATTTAAAGGGTCTGAAAATTCATCAATCTAGACTACATTTTAAGCAACATCATACCCAGGATTCGCCAATTTGCTCATCACAAATCACAATCGAGAATGTTAAAGACTTTCAAGAACAAACTACAATTCTAACTGCAAATAGTTTATCGGAAATGAAAAATGATAAAATTGATAGTATATATTTAGCAATTTTTTTTGCAAATTTGAAATCGTCAGTGCTAATAGTAAAAATTATTCCTGAAGGATCCAGAATCCCAATATCAGAGTTTTTTTCATCCCTTTTAGATCAATGCGTTTCGAAAAATGATCTAAACTCATGGATCTTACTACTAATTTTCCCATATTGTGTTTTAAACAAACACAAAACGCAAATTATGTCATCTACATATTTAAATAGAAAAGGTATTTCAAAAGACAATTCAGAAATACAATTTTCAAGTAAATCATCCATAACATCTTGAGCAATAATTGGTGATATATTAGAACCCATAGGAGTTCCAAATATCTGTTGGTATATTTTATTATTAAAAGAAAAATATGTATTATTGAAAAGATGTCTTAAAATCATTATAAAATTATCTTTTTTTATATTGCAACACTTTTTGATATTATTCCAATGCTTTTCAATACTTTTTATAGCTAGTTCTAGCGGAATATTAGTCAAAAGAGATACCACATCTAAGCTTATTATAATGTAATTTTCTGGAATTTGATAATTATTACCTTTTTCTGAAAAAATAAAAGAATCTTCTATGTAATAAGGATTATCATTTGATTTATATGAGTTTGTGAGAATGTGTGTTAAATATTTTGTTAGTTTACTTGTCGGTGTATCTATTGAGGATATAATAGGTCTCAATTTGATTTCGGGTTTGTGGATCTTTGGTAAACCGTAAAATTTTGGACAGATTGAATTATAGGTAGTTAAAGTTTTGGAAAAAATTTTCGTCTATTTCTTTATTTTTCTTTAAATTTTGAATTATTTTATTAGTTTTTTGTTGGATTTTAGAAGTAGGATCGGTTTTAAGTATTTTATAGTAAGTTCTATCTTGGAGCATTGTTTCTGATAATTCCGTATAATGATCTTTAAACATAATTACAGAAACATTACCTTGATCAGATCTTGTTACTATAATTTCTGAGTGTTCTGTCAGGAATTTTTTTGTTTTAGTGTACCAATGTTTTATTTCTGTATAATGTGTTGAAAAATTGAAAAATTGGTGATTATGTTTGTTATTTGACAAATCATAATATTTCTATTATTTTCATCCCTACAATTAGATACTAATGATTCAACATCAGCTAAAAGATGTTTTATAGAAATGTCATTTTTTTCAGGAGGTAAGCTAAATTTTGGTCCAAGAGACAGAATGTTTCTCACTTCTTCAGGAATTTCAAGAGAAGTTAAACTCTTGAACCATTTAGAATTTATTTTTATTTTAATTTTATTGGTATTTTTTAAATGCTCTAATTTACGAATATTATTTGTCTTGAAGTTCTTTGTTAATCTTGTTAATATTTTTATGTGTGATTTTAATTTTTAAGTTTAGAATATTGTTTTCTACCTAAACAACAATTTTTTTTTTAAATATTCCCAGTAGTACCATTTTCAAAATCAATCATTTCATAAATTCCTTTGATTTTGTCCTGAATGTGTTTCGGAATTAGACCATTTTGTCTGCATTTCAATAGAAAATTGTTTCTGTTTTTCATAGATGCAAGTTTTTTGTTTGTGGATGCCCAACTTTTCAAAAACTTGGGGCAATTGATACCATATTGTTCTTTGATTCTCTGGTGAAACCCCGTACCTAATATTAATATCAGGAAAATTTCGTGGCTCCAACTATATATTGATGAAAATTATTTGTGGGATACGGCCAATAATAAAGTAAGACTCTTTTTTCTTGTGAGACACTATCGAAACATGTAAACCAATCTGGGCATCCTATAGATTTTAATAATTCTATTGTTTTAACAACTGAACAGAATTTATCTGAGAGATGTTTTTTAGAAATGTGTTTTTTTCAACAAGAACCAAATTCCCTAAGCACAAGGACAGATATACAAAATTTGAATATTATTTTCTCAAATTTACTTCTTATTGACAAGGGCAAATAATCTTGAACGTTTCTTTCATGTACCATAATCTACCTTAAAACTTTAATTGTTATGAAGACAAACTGATAAAATTTTGTCAAATCAATCATTTTACAATTTTTCATGACCATTTTTAAAAATCTTTCTACAATATTTCTACTCTAAGAACTTATTTTGAACTCACTTTTGTAAGTACGCTTCTTTTATATTGTTTTCTATTATATAATTTTTGTTTTTTATAGTTGTACTGAGGAAGAAGTTAAATTAACTTCGAAAGCTTTACAAGAAAAAAGAGTCTTACTTTATTATTGGCCGTATCCCCACAAATAATTTCCATCAATATATAGTTTGAGCCACGAAATTTTCCTGATCTTATTTTATAACACATAGAACAAATTTATTGTAATAGGTGGAAACTGAAAACTTCTAATTTCTAATCCACTTAGCTACTACTAATTAATATCTACCTGCTAGTAATAATAATGGTCCACGCCAAATAAAAATAATGGAAAAGTCGACTTAGAGAGTATTAGAACGAATAATTATGATTCTAACTACAACACTAAAACTTATGTTTTATTCCAAATATTCGTATAAAGCATTTCTTGGCTTGGAGTAACACAACCGACTTGTTGCTCAATGCCTGCTTTTGTAGCTCATGGAGCTTTTAGCTTGAAGTGTTTGTATTTAATGAATTTCTCCTATCTGTTTTAATATTAAAAACTTCACTGGAGACTACTCTTGTGTTTGAAAATGGCAGAACAAGTAACAATGAAATCACTATTTTCAAATTTTGAAAAACTTCCATACTAGCAGAGTTCTTTAATTTAAAAATTTCTGCCAAAAGTTTTCAGGGTTCACTGTATTTTAAGTGTTTCAAAATTTAGAAGGGTATGTTGTCTCCATTCGTTGTTGTCTAATGATTGTAAGTCTTTGATACGAGTCTTGATAATGGGAAATCTATTAAAGGAGGTGTGACCGAAAAATTAAAGTTTTAGTGCAAAAAAATCTAAGAATAATTATTCAAACCGCATCTTGCTACGATGGTCCGTTTTCAGGTTAGGGCGGTTCAAAGATACAACTAGGTGTTTGTAACGTCACACTGGATTATAAGGGACAGTAGATATTAACACGTGTAAGAATTTTCTAAAACAAAAGAAAATTATCTCCTAGAGCGAATTGCAACCACTCAAAGTAAAGGGCACGGTTCACTGACGACTGAACGAACAGAAGACTGCGATTTTGGCGGTTGTGACATAACAATTTCCTGCATTATTTATCTTCAAAAGGAATTTTCTCGGAGACTATTTTGAATATAGGGCTGCGGTTTTCAAGAGAGATCTTAGAATTTCTTTCTTGATTTAAGTAGCTTAAGTCATTTTTTGGGGTCACACCCCCTTTAAGAACTTTCTGCAAACCTCTGTCTTCGAGAGATTGAGCAACACGAGGGTCAACAATTTCAATGTATTGAAAAACCTTGTCCTTAAAAGTGAACCTTTCCTTTATCTGACTGACCAGTTCTGGTTTTATACAACTGATCAATTTCTTTTTTGACTTTAGAATTTTCAGTCAGCTTAGATATTGTTTCAGGTAAATATTTTCCAGGGCTAAAAAAATTTTACGGGTTTTTGTGATTTAACTTAAAAATGTCAGATTCTCTGACAACACTTACGTTCATATAATTGCTGCAAAAAATTTGTAGAAGGTTTTTGGTTTCTGGTTGAGGAGCTTCTCAGATTGAAAGATTGAAAAAGAGTATTAAGTTCAGTCATGAGTCCGAGGGTATACTTCATAAATTCTAAATAGGCTCCTGCAAATTTCTTTTCTATGGTCTCAATCATAATTTGAGTGGTATCGGAAGGGTCTTCAAATAATAACTGCCCAAAATAAGTATTAGGGGTTCATATTGTTCCAACACCCTATCCACACATCTAGTAAAAGATGGAGACAATATTCTATGGATGTCTGGAAAAATGTCGAAACTCCTCGAATGTTTCCGTTCTTTGAGAACTTCTGAGGAATTGACTTCTAATATTCCGGAGTAAATCTTCCACTGATTTGGGCAGTTTCGTTCAAGATTTGGATGTAGCCAAGGGAGCCATATGGCAGGAGCATTTAACTCAAATAATCGACAAATTTAATAAAGAAAAACCTGAATGAAATTTGGAGAAAATCCTACAAAATTTGTTGTTGGTATAACTTTTCATTTTTCAGGGTTGACATCAAGGCCTCAAACAAGTCAATGGCAGCGCTACCCTCGGTCTCAATTAAGTTAAAAAAAATTGTAATATAACTTTGTTTAAAACATTTAAAAAAAAAATTACCGTGACGGCACATTGTTTCTTTATGGAGACATCAGCAGTCTCGTCCATAATAAGAGAGAAAAAACAACTAGGTCTTAAGTTTTTCATCAAGTTCTTCAAAAAAGTATTTCCCCAAACCCCCAATTATAGCTGTAGTGGCTTTTGTTCGATGCAGGTGGAGACCCTACCTTGTGCAATTAGCGAGTCCGGAATTTGTTTACTGACTATTTCACTAGAGTGTTTTACACTGGCAAAATGTCATAGGAACGGCCGGTTTCCTACTGACAAAACTCCTACCTGTTCCTACCTGGACAAACCAACATGATGGTGTTTCAGTGACAAAATTTTGTGTGGTTAGAGTAAAAAATTAGTGAGTTTGACAAGTGTCACCTAAAGAAAATAAATTTCCCAAATGAAAATTAGGCTTGTTTTTCTCGTGAAATAGTCCAGCCGAATACCACTAAAATAAAAAATTATGTAGGCAAAAATATTCTCTTGGTTTTATTCAAGTTTGTTGCTTTTTGGTAATTTCGCGAATGACATTTTTGACAATTTCATTCGCGAAATTGCCAAGCAACAAACTTTCATACCAGTCGAAAATTCTGCCAGCAAATTTTTTTCTCTTGTGGTATTATATATGATAATGAATCCGTTAATTTAAAACTTAAATTATTTGTTGCCAAAAGGCCTCATAAATTCAATTCTGCAATTCTGACATTTGTGTCTTTGTTGCTAGATATCTGTTGGCTATTGAAAATATGTTTTTCTGACTTTGTATGACTTACCAAAAAACCCTTTTGGACAAAAATTTCCTTTTGGCAAACTTTACAATAAGCCATTCTGTTGTTGCTCTTAACAATTTTTGCCACCCAGTCTTCAAAACTTGGATTTGTAAGCCAACTGTTTGAACATTTTTGCATACTTTTGGTTTTTTCATCGCAGATAGTTTAAGGCTCTTCTGCCCCTTCTTCAGATTCTGCACCTTTAAACTTTTTTTGCATGGTTCTATTGGCCGAGTCCCTTCTGCCTCAGTTATTTTGCGTTTGTCTGTTTCTGTTTCCTATCAAAAAAATATTAGGAGTGTTAAGTTTTATAAAAATAGAAGAGTCTGGGGAGCAGACAGATGGAGCTCCGAAGGATGCCGAACGATATTCCGCGTGTGACTAAATATACCTACCAAAATGTTGCACCGATCCTAACAGGTTCGTTTAGGATCGGCTAAAGTGCCCTCCATGCCAAATTTATCGTTATAGGTTAAGTGAGTTAATGTTTTGCGCACTTTATTACTTCATTTCTACAATTACTTTCACAAGCATGGTGTTGCTCATTTAGAATAAGCACGACGCACAGTTTTTGGAGCAAATAGACCCGGGTTCGATTCTCGTTGAAAGCAATACATTTTTAGATTATTAAAAGGACGGGTTAGTTTGGATTTGCTTTGTTTCGATTAAAATAACAACATGCAAAGACTAGCACTTAATACGAATTACGGAGCTCCATCCTGTCTGTTTCCCAGACTCTTGTATAAAAATAGACAAATAAATTGTTGTTTTGCAAAAGTATATTACTGTCTGCCTTCAAGTAGCTGTATTTTCATTTTCATTCAATATTCAATATAGGTACCTAATAAAATTCTATTAAATTTTAGCTTTAGTTTATAGTCGGAGAGCCAGCGCCAAAAAAGTGCAAGAGTTTCATGAAAGCTGAAAATTTAATATAAGCTTGTAATTGTGATGTATATAACTATACTCGAGTCAGCAAGTGAGGTAGCGGGACAAGCTACGCCCACGCACCTTTGAATGTGTAAAAAAATAATCGTGATGAAAGAGTTTCATGACAGCTGAAAATCTCTCAATCCATTGTTTATTTGATAAAAAACATGACGGACATGGTCAAATAGCATTATGTTAGGACAACTAGAGTCAGCATGCCTATACAGGGTGGTCCATTTAAATTGAGACAGTCTAATATCTCGAAAACGGTGCGTTTTTGAAAAAAAAAGTTCAAATAAAAGTTACATGGTTTCATAGGGGAAACAGAATGGCGGTACTGATTTTTGACTTTGACAACGTTTTCAAGGTTATTTCAAGGTCAACTCTTTTTTTTTCAATGGAAACATATTTTTTTATTACAGAATCTTATTCTACAGAAAAAAAACAAGTAACTTTTACTTGAAGCATTTTTCGATCTGGTTTCAATTTAAGCTGATAAAAAAGAACGAAAAATTTTTTTGTTTCCTCCTCACAAAATCGAACAGTAGAGAAAGGTTACCAAAAATACCTCAAAAACTATAACAATTGATCGAAATGACGATCGCCAACTTCAACACACTTGCCAATTCACTTTAAAAATCAAACACACAGTTTATCAAGAGGTTCCCACAAGACAGGATAATATGATGGAACACATAAGAAATGCTTAGAGCTGTCAGTAAAGAAACTGTAATTTGGTGCCATGAAAGCTTTTTACAGCGAATTTACAAGTGTGTTGAAGTTGGCGATGGTCATTTTGATCAATTGTTATAGTTTTTGAGGTATTTTTGGTAACCTTTCTCTACTTTTCGATTTTGTGAGGAGGAAAAAAAAATTATTCGTTCTTTTTTATCAGCTTAAATTGAAACCGGAACAAAAAATGCTTCAAGTGAAAGTTACTTGTTTTTTTTCTGTAGAATAAGATTCTGTAATAAAAAAATATGTTTCCATTGAAAAAAAAAAAAGAGTTGACCTTGAAATAACCTTGAAAACGTTGTCAAAGTCAAAAATCAGTACCGCCATTTTGTTTCCCCTATGATACCATGTAACTTTTATTTGAACTTTTTTTTTCAAAAACGCACCGTTTTCGAGATATTATACTGTCTCAAGTTAAATGGACCACCCTGTATAGGCATGCTGACTCTAGTTGTCCTAACATAATGCCATCTGACCATGTCTGTCATGTTTTTTATCAAATAAACAATGGATTGAGAGATTTTCAGCTGTCATGAAACTCTTTCATCGCGAATAATTTTTTACACATTCAAAGGTGCGTGGGCGTAGCTTGTCCCGCTACCTCACTTGCTGACTCGAGTATAGTTATATACATCACAAATACAAGCTTATATTACATTTTCAGCTTTCATGAAACTCTTGCACTTTTTTGGCGCTAGCTCTCGGACTATTATGTATAAAACTAAATTGCTGAGCACAAATATTATCCTACATGTTAAAATCGAGCATAAAAAAAAAAATAAAGCCCATCGGTTTTTTCTTATTTATGAAACAAAGGCCGTCATATAATTCTGATCAACCGTTTAACAACGGGTCTCCAAAAACAAAAACATATCAAAGATGGCTATGATTTTTCAAAAGTTTGTCTTAGCAAAATTTTTCTCTCAAAAACTAATCGTCCGATTTAAGATTTTGCTATATATATGACTGTAAATGGATAGCAACGAGCTACCAAACAATGTGCAACACAAGGTAGGTTCGTATTAGAAAAAAAAAAAAAAAATCAAAAAATAAATCTTCCTGATAGTATTTTTTGTCTAAGAGATATTCCTGATTGCTACTTTTCAAATTGTCACCCTGTATGTTGCTATCACTACTAACATGAGAGAGGGAGGAAATGACTAGAAAGAGACCAACAAAATCATGTTTTTTATTGTAATAAAATTTTTAACAATATGAACAGGAACAGGTGAATGTATATTATGTAAATGAATAATACTTAAAACAAACAGAGTTTTAACCCCTAACTGGTGAGGTGGGGTTTCTCAAACCCCACAGATTTTAACAATCTTTACCACGTGTTAACTAATGATTGGAGGCCCGCTACTCTCCTGTATCCTAATGGTGTCAACATCGCGCGATATTTTACTTGAGGTGGAATTCTGTAACGGATGGAGATTGTTATCGATATCGCTATGGCACTTGCTATCTTCTTCTCTCTATTCGAAATCAATAGAGAGGGGACGTCAATAGAGATAGCGAAATATCGCTATTCGTTACAGAATCCCAGCCTTGGTGTACGATATTACGATTTTTCTAAAAATTGGGGTTTGCATAACCCCACCTCACTGTGATATATTCATTCATTAAGTAATCATTGTGCTCTTCAAAGTCTTCGATCTCACTACTCACTATCTGTCACTGGTGTACGCCTGTACTAGATTCTGAAAGAATATTTACATTCGTCTTTACATGCACCAATTTTTTCACCCTCTCAGTAGAAAGCTGGTTTCTTAATTTTGAGTGAATAAACCCAAATGTAGAAAAATTCCGCTCAGAAGAGGCGCTGGATGTAGCCATAGAAAAAACTTGCAGGTATAATTTATCATTTAAAAATCAGGTTCACCTACATAAAACTGTTTTGCTCTTCCTGGGTTTGTGGCCACACAGGAAAGGCATTAAGCTGGAAAATATTGCTTCTGATTGATCTTTATTGATGTTAATGATAAAGTCTTCTAGCTCCTCCCAGAGGGACCTTTTCATATCTTCGCCAGCGTACCTGGGATCAAGAAGATATCCCAAACCATGGACATCTCCAAAAATGAATTGGAAACGTTCCCAAAATGAAGTGCGTAATGTTTGCTCTAATAGAACTTTTCCAATGTTAATTGACATGCAATATTCAATTGAATTCTTGTTTTGACAGATGTTGATCAGCTTCTTCTTTTTCATAATGTTTTGGGAGATTTAGGAATGCAACAAAAACCTCAGATATCGGGATATCATCAGCTTGAATTTTTTTTAACAGTAAATTTATTGGTGTCAATATAATTCCTTTTTTTAAATGCCTCGTAGTTTTCATCAGACATTGTATCTTTTATTTTTTGTCTGGCTTCTCTTTGAGTCTGGGGTGCCCCAAATACAAATTTCTCTAGAATTCACCATCTGAAGAAGAATTTATTCAGAATTCAAAAGATTCAAAACAAGCTAACAGTTCCCCACCTTGTCTTTTCAGGTATCACTTATTAAAATCAATGAACTAGATAAAATTATATAAACTAGAATTTGTTAACTTGAATAAAAATATCTTACTCTAGGCATATGGTTTTCGTGTTGTGCTTCATGTAAGATATGGTTTAATACAAGTTCAAACCTACAAAACCATCCAAATTCAAGGCATTATTGGCAGATCTGAAAACAAAAAAAAGTTTTTTTTATTATTAACACCAGCGGCGTATTTACGGGGGGTTTAGGGGGCCCAGGCTGCTACTGAATAAGCACATTAACAAATGACAAACCACTCGGCACCGTTCGAAAACCCAGAGGAGTTGCACACCGATATATGTCGGACCCTCACTCATTGGAGTAATTTTCACACCAATAACCAGTTTCTCGAACGCAACCCTGGTGTGTGAATAAATCTGAATAAGGTAATTCCGGGAGAGTTGCCCCACCTAACAAAAAAAATTGAAACAATTTAATATTGAAGGCTCTAACTCTAAAAAAAAATATTTTGTACGATAATGAATGTAGAACACATGAAAAAAGTTATTTTTTGAGAAAATATGCAATAATTGCAGGATTATATTTGAAAAATGAAAATGGCGTTTCTGGCCATCTCTCCCTACGATGCGGGTGAGACGCCCTACATCATCGGGAAAGATGCTCTAAAATAATACTAAAGTGAAGATAATATGTGTACAATATTTATTAACTCCCAAAAGAACAAACCGAAAGTTTTTTCCAAACTAAAATTTGGCCAAACGTTGTACAATAAAGGACAAAACAATAAAAAATTCAAGTTCAAACCTGGCAATTAGCCTAAAATAGTTTTTTTAGGTGTTTCTTCGCCTTCTCAGCCCCTTTTTCTTCTCTTCCACAAAGGTTACATTTATTGGCGTACAAGGAACAGGTCTCATGATACCATTTTCTGCATGCTATACACTCAAGCCAATCCACTGTCTCTGTGGTTTCGTAATAAATTTCCAAACATTCAGCACATCTTTCCGATTGAGATTCACGACGACATTTCTTTGTAATTGTCATTTTTTTTTGGATATTCTGAAGAGGGCTTGTCGGTGGTTTTAATTTTCTTTGCTACTTTGGCTAATGGTTCATTATCTGAATTTTCGGAATTTTCAGACAAGTTCAGTTTCATCAAGTGACTTCTCGTGTTTGCTTTGCTTCAATATTTTTTGGTTCAAGAGTTGCGCGGCTTGTTTTTTTATTTATTTTTTTCAGTACGTTGAATGATTGGAACGGGAGAAATTTCCTGCAGGAATTTACTAGGTGTTTCTTTAAATTTTATTTTTTCCGGCTTAGATGCATGCTTGACATTAGGAGATCTTAGCTCTTTTGATGTTCCAGGAATCGGCGACCGCCGTTCGATATCATCTGATAGGGAATGAACAACCTTTTTAACCATTGCAAAAGGTGCTACAGTGGTAGTTATAGGACCAAGCTGTCTTGATGGCCCCGCAGTTGGTTCATTAGGATCAAACTGGGCAGAATTTTCAGTGCTTGCAGAAGATGCTACATCAGCAATTGCATAAAAATGTTCCGGAACGACATCGGGGTCCAAAGGAAATATTTCCGTTGCTCTGAAACCAGAAAGAGCAGTTTCTACTAAGGCTGATTTTTCCCATGCCTTTTCAATCAGTTGACTTGCTTGAATTCGCTTTACCTGTCATCCTGGGTGATGTCTCATTCACTGCCGAGCTTCACGTTTTAGATTGTACTTTAGGGATTTAAAAAATGCCCTGTCAAGTGGCTGAAGTGCTTGAGTGGTGTGGCTGGAAAGGCAAATTAGATTAATATCATTTGCATCTGCAAATTCCAACATTTCTAAAGAATTAGTATGGGAAGCATGCCCATCTAAAACTCAAAAGGTTCTTCCAGGCGGCTTACGAGGAGCAAAATGATCCCTTAGCCATTTGAAAAACAATTCGGCAGTTATGTACGGGGACTTAGGATTCATAAAAACTTTAGAACCCGAAGGTAGTGCGTCCTTAAATTCAGGTTTCTCTCGTTGTCCCTTAAATATAACCACTGGTGGTAGAAATCGTCCCTCTGCACTGCAGCAGGCAATAATGGACACATTTTCGCCTCTTTCGGCCGAAATTAAGGTATGTACAGCCTTAGCTCCCTTTGTGGCGATTACCGTTCCAGCTTCGTTATTTACTTGGAAGCCGGTTTCGTCCATGTAAAATATGTTTTCCGGTCTAACAAACATGTTATTTTCTGTGTAACACTTATGAAGCAATTCAAAAAATGTTTAGCTTCTTCTCGATTCATTCCCTGGCTTCGAGCAATGGATTATCCTTGCGACTGCCTGACACATAGTTCTCTATTTCTTTTTTGAAAAATAGGGTTAACCAATCATAGCCGGCTAATCTCGTTTCACGATTAAACCTGTGGGTAATATCAAGTTTTTCAGCAAATTGAAAAGCTAATGCCCGAATCGTCTCTCTATCAGGAGCAAATCCGGCTTTCTCCAGTCTCTGAATATGTTTTACCAGTCTTTTTTCATTTTCTGTTCCCAAAACACCCTGAGGACTAAGAGGTAGATCAGGCCTATTTCCCTGAATTCTTCTTCTTCTCAGTCTTCGTGAAGGAATACCATATGCACGTGAAGCCTCGTTAACTCCCATTCTGCCAGAAGTTAAACATCTTAGAGCTTCTTCCAGGTCTTCTTGCCGCCATTGCTTCTTTGGCTTGCCACCAAGTTTTCGTTTATATTCTGTGGGCATCCTATAAATAAATTGAAATAGAAAAAAGTACAAATACCAAATAATTTTGGGGACAGGTGCCCCAGGTCATCTGTCTTTTTGTACGGGTTAGATGCCCCAGAGCATCTATCCTTTCGAGCGGTACAGATGCCCCGCACAGCCCTACAAGCTTTGAGTGAATATTTTGCGATTAGCACAAACATAACCTCAACTTAAGAAGCGAAGTACTACATGACCACAAATTGCACAATCAAAATAATAAAAATATACAAATTCTCTATTGATAAACCTTATAATAATGACTGTATTCGTATAAACGTACCTTAAAAAATTCTAATCTCGCTAACAGGGTGGAGTACAAACATAATCACCTATTCCGACGACTAATTATTAGGGATAACTGACGGGTGGCTAACGAACATTATGGGTAATTTTATTTTCGGCGCGAAATATGGAAACAGGGGCATCTATACCGGTGGGGCAACTCTCCCGGAATTACCTTATATTGATAAATCCTTGAATATGTTGATGGATGAAACTACACATAAAAAACTAAAAAAAAAAACATCCAACAGTTACAATTCAGAACAAAAATAAAAAGATGATTGACACTTTGATAAAGGATGGTGTGCTACCTTAGACAATTATCCAATTCAAACACAAAACACTATATTGTTTAACAATATAATTTTATTAACAATCTTCCAATAAATATGTATAAACTCAACGAGTACAAATTCACATTAACATTAACATATACACTCAAGGCGTTGGCTGATCGACTACCTACATCGGGTCCGGTAGTTAACAACTCGAATTTGGAGAGTTAGTTTTTAAAAAATTTTATTTTCAATGGTGGTTACAATTCAACTGACTTAAACCTAAGTAAAATTAATATTTATAATTATTAGCTTTGCTGACAAAGCTGTTCCCAAGAAATGCAACGGTCGGTCGGGTTCTAGAAACAAAGTAACAAACTGCTGAACTCTTAAGTTTATGAGAATGTAACTCCTCCCGTGTAAGTTGAAAGCACGTACTGAAAAATAAAAAACGTGATTTCACAAAAATACAAAAATAATTAAAAAATGCCTTCAACTTCATCACTTTCACTTTTTGGGAACTTTCGAATTTTCTTAATGCACAATAAGCTGAAAAAGTAAATTCAAATTAATATAATGATTAAGTATAATAATATTGTCCAGAGACTGAGGCGATTTGAATAAATCGTCGTGGTTGACATTTCTTCAAGTTTCTTCTTTTGTTCATGAAGTTTTTCTTTTATGTCTTTGGATGTCTTGACGTTAATGATGTTCAAATCCAATGAAGGTAGGTCGTAGGGCATTGATTGGTTATGGTTAATCAATGATAGGTCCAATATCGGTAAATTGACTTCTTTAAAAGAGAGTCGACTTGGCTTGAAGCTCTCGAGGGTGGTTGATTATATTTTGGCTTTACAATTAACGGGCACTTCTAGTAGGTAGGATCCGAAGATGGGTACAGTTTCTTTTAGGTTTTGACAGTTCGTTGAACTTTTAAGTGGAGTAGGAACTGTAACGAGCCATGTTCCATCAATAATTTTGGTTATTTGCGGTGCGTGCAATTGAACTTCGAAAGGATGACAAGATGTGATGTTTGTACTGTATTTAATCAGCTGTACTTCGCATGGCAGGTAGTTTTCGATAAAGGTAGTACGGGCTTCTTGACATAGGTATTCATCAGGCGAGATTTCTTCACAACGTTGGTCCATATAGGAGTATTTGACGTCACTTAGTGCTAGGTATGGCTTATGTGGGATGTTGACGAAAAAGGTTTGAGTATGGTTTGTTGGGATAGGTAATGGATGTAGATTGAAGTATTGATACACATCCGCTTCTACAAGTGGGAGTTCCAATATAAATATGACATTAAAATCTTTTAAGAAACATTTAATTTGTAGAAATTTCTCGAAAATCAGTATGTTTTCAGGTACTGGAGAAATTGGTAACCTATCCGGGTTCAAATGTG